TCCAAATGTAAAATTACTCCTCCACTTAGTAAACAAAATTCATCCATTTTATATACTTTTTTTGCGAAGTCATCATTATATAAGTTGTTTTATGTACTATGCATAATACATCCGCTCCTAAATTTAACCTTTACAATAATTGGTTTTGCTAGTTATATAACTTCTTTAATATTCCTACTCTAAGACAATCATTGATCATCTCTGCTGAGCTCTATTGAAAGGAATCTTTGACATTCAAATCAAGATGGGAAGGGTAGGGGGTTTCCGAGCAGCGTAGCTGGTGTATGTGATGGTCTCCGTAGTTTCTTGAACAAAACATAAGAAATCCAGTGACTTCTTGGTGAAGTTTCTGTGGTTGCATATTTTAAACACAGCACTCCTACCATTGCTATATCTTATACTTTGCTATTTTCTACTTGTAATCATAACTAACTCTTTTATATGATTAAATCAATTATACTCTCAGAATATTTATAACAACTCCTTTTCTTTCCTGCAGCAGATGACCTATGCATTTGCATGTTTGTGTGTACATACATACATTAACATACATAGATAAGCCTTTGTTCCAAGTGGATTGACATGCACAGAATCAGAAGGATGGTTTACACGCACCTTGCCTAAAGGTGAATGACCTCACAAGGAAGTAATTCAATGAAAAAGTTCCTCAGTAGTCATGGGCAGCATGTATATGTAGACTGAAGGCATCAGATGTTTTCAGTTAAAGGGTAACCTCACCTGTCTGCAAATGTTGTCCCTATTCATACTTGAAAAAGCTGAAATCTACTCTAAGGAGTATTTTAGCTCTGGTTTTGGTTAATCTCAGCAGGTGGCAGTATATGCAACACTAATTTAATTTCTTGGATGTCAGAGATACTTAAGACAGCACAGAAAATACCTCAGGAAGGCAGGAAACCAGTGCACACTATTGCTGGAAATTAATGGCAGCTTATGTTGGCTCTGCATGTTGGAATGCAAAAACTAGAGAAGCATCCAAAGGATATCTGCCAGAAATTTACATTAAATGAATGTGCAGTAAGTCTTACACAGCTGACATTTCACACTCTTCAATAAAAAGGAAGAAGCTGCCGGGTAGATCTATTTGTTTTCCTTTGCTCATCTGTTTTTCTGGCTGCTAAGACAACAGAAGTGTAGGAAATAAGATGATGTAACTTCTCACTGAATCTGTACTGATACAAACTCTGCTATGCCTGATCCAACAGGCCAAAGTAAGCACTGGCATCTAATTACAGCTGCATTATCAGCCACCACTGCAACTGTCTGGAAGGGCAGAAAATAACCAAGTGTCACCAACTGTCAAATAAATAGAAAAAGAAAATAACCAAAATCCCCAACTTCCTTAGAAGTGAAGGCAGCACATCGGTGTGCACTGGCAGCTAGGGACAAGTCATAAAGCAGACACACAATGTCTGACTTTACACTGCTGCTGGCAAAAGATAACTGGAGATCTAGAACTGGCATCTATTTATTTATTTATTTATTACAGCTCTAAATACCAACGAGCTGCTTGTTGATTCCACTGTCAGGTATCTGTCCTGCAGTGCCAACCTTCAGGAGCGGTTTGCTGAATTTCATCAAAGAAATAGTGGGCCAAGTTCATCTGCTGTTTATTGAAGGTGACAAGGACAGGCATGATGGCTGTTCTTCATTCAGCCAAAAAGAAAGGATAGCTCCAGCACAGGCATGCTTAGTCATGAAACTGCCATCCAAACCAGAAGCTATTTGTGAGGTTGAATGACACGAGCAACTAGTTGCACTGCCAGCTGAATGACGGCGCAGACATGGGGGACAGCTCTGATTGCAGCTGGGCTTTGTGCAAAGAAACACCAAGGCAAAACACACAGAAAGAGAAGGAAAACATAGGTATCATCAGAGAGGCCCTCATAAATCTCTGCTGAAGAAAAGCTCAGAGAATTTTTGGTAAAATTATGGTAAAAAGGCATCTTGGTCTACAGACAATTCTCAGTGTATAACTTGTCCATTTGATCAATCTTTTTTTATATACAATTATGTGCCTGTACCTGTGACCTGTTTCTTCTCCTAAAAGAAATGCACAATTTTATTCACATTGAGAAAATAAAAACCAGAACAACAAACAACAAACAAAAAGGCAAAACAAAAAACCCTACAATTGCTACCAGACAATACGTAAGTGTTGAGTGGATGATGAGTGATACACAAGAAGAGGGAGACAGAAAAGACCCCATAGAAAAATTGCCAAAAAACCTCACTCATATTTACAGTATTGCTCTCACATTAATGAATCAGGATTATCAGGTCCCTTGATCAAAGGTAGCTACAGCAACACTCTGAAATCTCCTTGCTTAAGAAGGATGACTTCACTTTCATTACTCTATACCAAGAACACATGGAAGGTATCTTTCAACCTTTTCCTTACTTAAGGTAACCCACTGGAATTTGTTTTTCCATGGAGAACCATTTCCTTTTGTGCCTCTAAGGGTTTGCTGAAGCTTTTTCCCTATGTAATCCTTCAGCATCTTGGCTGCCTCAAGAATACTGTTGGATAGGACCTGTGTAGTCAAAAGTTGTGGCTTAAACTGTGATTGTCTAAGGTATTTTTTAAAGCAAAAATACTCAATCATGGTATTCTAAGGAGTTTTCAATCAATTGAAACAATTGAACAAGGAGATGTATTTGCTATAACATGGGCTTTGAAATTTACAACTGCATCGGTATTTTACTTTTTCTAGTGTGTGCATGTGAGCTGAACCACTTGGTATTTATGTTTTAAACCGCCAGTGCAGACAGTTTGGCTACTCCAGACTTATAGCTGGGAATAAAGTAGCTGCTATTGCTTAGTCTGATTTTCTGATAAGCTGCACAGAGTTATTAAGTGTGATTCTCAGCACTGTGTGCAGTAGAATAAGCTGAATCTTATTCTGTGTCTAGAAACTTCATCCTTTTCCATTCTGTCAATTTTGTTGGTCTTTTCTTCAGCACTAGGACATTTCTGTCTTCATGACTTCATGTTTTGCTATCAGTGAGCATAGCTGGCAAGGCCCTCAACAAGCTGCAAAATCTTTCATTTTTCTGAAATAGCAGAGGCCTCATGGCATTTTGATGCAGGAAAAGTGACCTTGTTTGATGCTACATTATGCCATGGCTCTGCTCTCATCACATCCCCCAGCATTATCATATGTTATCCTCCTTGTGTGACCTCAGGCGATCCTGACACAGGATCTGACAGACTTCATGTCATGCACCAACCTCATGTAAGATGAGAGGTCTGATGTTGCTCCATCATAAAGAGATTATGTGTCTCTGCGTTTATCTTAATCATGTCAGTGGGTCCAGCAGCTTGACTCCTTGCTGTTGAGAATGTGATAGGAGATGATTTACAAGGTGAAACAATAGTGGGAATAAAAGGTCAGACCTTGGAAAAGCTAGGAGGAACAAATTGTCATGGTTTAAGGCACTGCTATTATGGACTGAAGTGTCCAACCTTTTCTTAGCTTTTGGTCAGCGGTTGTAAGATGGAAAACAAATATTTTTGATGTCCACCAATTTTAGGCTGCTTTAAGGCTAGCAGTGCTCTGGTGCCATTTAAGGGATATTTTATTGCAATCCATAAAGTGATTGCAACTAGTGTGGCCACAGGTAAAGACCAACAGTATTTTGAAGTATCAAAAGTGTCAAAATGGGTGCACCAATAAAATATTCAGTGTCTTACTCCTATGTCAAAGATGTGTGGCTACAAATTAGACCTAAGATCACTAAATGTGGTAGAATCTGGTATAAAATAGCAGATAGTTGGCATATCATTACTTGAATGCAGAGCAGTGTGAGGGTCATCAACATTTTTGGTTTTTACTCAAAAGCGTATCTTTAATAACAAAAATTTCCTTACAGGTTACAGTAGTTCAATGTTAAACAGTATTAATTCGAGGATGGTAAATGCTTGGTTCTCCCCGTTATTAGTCAGAAGGAGACCAGCAACGAGTGGGGAACTTTAGTTGTTAACCAATAACAGTAGCATGTTTGACTGCCCTCACCCTGAAATTGCTGTTCTTGTAATGGTTAACTGCTCTTTTGTAACTCACAGCAGGGGGGTAATTTTCCCATCAAAGGAGGTAAGATAAAAGGAAAGAAAATTCTTTCCACCCCAAATGTTAAAATCCATTTGAAAAGACCATCATTACCGTACACTAAATTCAGGTAGGAAGGTCTAGTGCATTTTTAGACTTGAGGCTATCGGCGGGGGAAAGAGGTTGTTAAAGGAATTACATATGAGTTGAAGGCACTTCTGTTTTACTTTCTCTCAGGTTTTACGGCTTCTTGTCCCCAGGGTGTGCCAGAGTGCGGTGTGAGCGCTGCGCCGCCTCGGCGCTCCCCCGCTGCCGCCGCCAGGGCAGCTCCGCCGCCGGCCCGTCCCTTGTGGGAACAGGCGGCGGCCGGGCAGGAGAAGTAAGAGCGGGGATTTCCCTGTCTCCCTCGTTCGGATCCCGTTCCCTCTGCCCCCGCGGCCCGCCTCTGGGAATGCCGCCCCTCTCCCTCCTTCCCGCGGTAGCTCCGGGCCGGGCAGAGTCCTGGCAGACTCCCGCCTAGCTGCCCGGTGGGCAGGCCGAGCACACGCGCGGTAAAGTTTCCCAAGGAAAGCAGGCTGGCAGGGCTTCCCGTCATGGCAGAGCCGGAGGGTGAAGGCCCCCGAGGCTGCGGGTCCCCGGCAGTCCATGTCCCGGCCGTGCCGGCCCGAGTGTCACGCCGCGTTTTTCCACCCGGGTCGGCGTTCCCCGCACCGAGCTCCCCCGGCGCCCGGAGCACCGCGCTGGTTGCCTGGGAGGAGCTGCTGTGTACAGCCTACGCAGTGCCCAGCCCAGGCCCCGGCGGGCCGCGATCGCTCCCCGGGAGGTGTGCCCATGTGCCCGGCGTGGGCGGTGTCAGGGCCAGAGGGGTTCCCGGGCAGGAGCCGCTCCCGAGCAAACAGGTGCGGGCTGAGCAGGTCGGACGGAGCCACCAGCATGGCCAGTCCTGGCACAAAGGCGTCGTGGCTCTCGCAGCCCAGCGTGAAGAGCGTGCTGGTGTATCGCAACGGGGACCCTTTCTTCCCGGGGCGCCGCATTGTCATCCACGAGAAGAAAGTGTCCAACTTTGATGTGTTCCTGAAAGAGGTGACGGGCGGGGTGCAGGCGCCCTTTGGAGCGGTGCGAAACATCTATACCCCCCGGGGTGGGCATCGTGTCCGACAGCTGGACGAGCTCCAGAGTGGGGAGCAGTACGTGGCTGGTGGCAGGGAGGCCTTCAAGAAGCTCAAGTGAGTGGCTGAAACGTAAGATTTATACAGAAATTAATATCAGCCTTTGGGGTTTGGCACTGTGGCAGTGCTTCAGACGACTCCTCACCCTGTCCCTTTTATTAGTCATTGCAGAAAGAGAACTTAGAAGCTGTGACCCAGGGCAAAAAGAAAAGATCCTTAGAAGCGACCCCCAGAAAGGGTATTCGTACCATGAGTCACACAGTGACAACTCCTTGACATAGTAGAAAAGGAGAAACAGCCCCTTAACCCGAAGGACGTGAGGGAATGGCATTTTGTTGTGATGTCTGTGCTCAGCTGAAGGGCCAGTATCCGTGTTTGTGCTCAGGGGTAACACAGTGAAAGCAGTAAAAGGTGGAGTGTTGACAGTCCTGCCAGGAAATTGATGAGCTTGGGAATTCAATACCCAATGCTTCCTTTCTTATTTATTTTTTAAAATTCTATAGTATTCTACCCAGCTATCTGTGTCTCCATCACTTCTGCTCACTTTGGGCACTTATATAGCCTTTAAATGTTTCTCCTGTTGAAGAAAAGATGAACATTTACATTCTTTTTCCTACCTGGACACCAAGAATTAAGCTGCCAGTTTGTCTGTTTTCTAGTGAGTCACTGGGAGAATAATGTGAAGGAGGTCAGGGCTTTTAAGTGTTTTAAGTTTCCAGAGTGGCTCTGAATATCATCAGTAACTATTCTTAATTCTGTCAGTGAATGTCAGGGTCTCAATTGACCATGCTGTCTTTTGCTTTGTCTTTGTGGGCATTTTTCCTACAGTTGAATTTATGGAAATTAATCTTAAAATTAACATCCCCTTTCCAGAGATGTTTGAGAATTCATATCATCAACTACCACCTTTACAGTGTCTTCCTCTTCTTGGTTCTGTAGAGTTGAGGACATTATATTTTTCAGGAGAGCTCATTAGTGGCACATTATGTTTCAGGACAAAACTTTCTGTGTAATGAACAGGATCTCTATCATCACCCTTACCATTTCTGTCACTAGCTGCTTCTAAAGATTTATTGAATCTTCTTGCACTTCAGTAGGAAAGCCAGAGAGAAAGATGTATGACAGGCTAAATATAAGCCCTTTTCCAGGAGTACTTACTCTTTTCCATGTCAAATGCGGTGCTCAACTCTAAGAGAGATCTACCATTTCTTTTTCATATTAAATCCTATGATTCTGTGGATGGCTTAAAATTGCTAAGTTATCAGCACATCTTGTTACACCTCTCTAAATGTGTTTTGTCTTGATAGTCTACAAATAAGTAAGTAATTGTTTGGCATTAGCATGAACTGTTTAGAGAATTGGGCACTCTGGATTTATACTGTGTGGAGAAAAGTATTTCTTTTGGTCACGTTACACTATATGGTCAGAATTTTGTGGTGAGACTTTTTCAGACTTCTATGGTTGCAACATTCAACAAGGTACCTAATTATTTAAGGCCAACAAAGATAATACTGAAAGCAAAGCCGACCTAAGTGACTAGGTAAAACCATGCTGTTTTATATATCCCTTGATAATATGTCGTAGGTCTGTGCTGTAGAGAGGATAAATGGGATGACTTGAGATCCCTTCCATTTCTGTATTCAGAATTGGAGTTGTTCACTTACTAGTATTTGTTTACATAGTGCTGGAAATGTTGACAGTGCTTTTATGAGCATTAAAAAGAAGCTGAAGGGTTTAATGTTGAAGTTGTTCTTAATTGGTTTGTAGACAGAATGGTAATAAGGGAGACATTTTGTGCAGAAAAGTCAGAGGAGAGGAAGGGTTAATTGGAAGGAACAGCTTACTGGAAGGAAGTGAAGGAATTAAAGAAAAATGTGTATGTTTGTGTAATGTGTCACAGGTAAACAGTTACAGTGTGACAGACCAAAGCATCTGCCTTAAGGGATCTGAATCTGGTCTGATGGCAGCAAAAAGTTTGATATTAAAAAAAAATAAATTATTTCTTGTTATTTTCCCCCAGTGATTCTTATTGGACATATTAATTGCTATGATAGACTATGCAAGGCTGAGCTTTGAAATGGAGGCTCGTGGCACTGATATGTGGGAGCTGTGGGAGTGTAATGGGGAAAGTATTCAAGGAGTAGCAGAAGTTGAAAGTGTCATTGTTCAGCTTCAAGCAGTGCATTTGTTTCTTCTCAGATGCCTTACACTGAAAAGTGAATCTCTTTCTTTCCTGCTCACAGGGAATTCAAGAATAAACTGTGCTCACCTTTAGCACATGAGCCAAACCCTGACTCTTAACATTTTGAGGCTGATAGTTCTGAGGGCATATATTCCAGATAAACTGTTGAATAATTTTTTAAATAAAATAAAAATATCAGTATTTAGGAATTCTGATTTTGGAAAAAAAAAAGTAGGATTTTTCTTCAATGGAGGAATTTTTAGTCAATGTTGGTAATTTTTAATGTAACATATAACAAGTTTTCCAGATTGTTTTGTCATTTAAAGGTGTCCTAAGTTAACACACCCATTTTCATAGTATATGTGGTAAGGTGTGTTGGTATATTGGGGTTGCAGTGGTGAGTGAGAATGCACATGTAGGCTGCATCCCTGTGGAGTTCTTCCCCAGCTCTCAGCTTCCTGAGACTGCCTATGCTGGAGCTGGTTTCGATTTTTAGCTTTTTTTCAACATGCTACTCCTCCATCCTCCTCCCTTTGCCCATTTACTTGTATCTGTGCTAATTCATCAGTGGTAGATTGTCCTCTTTCCAGCTGTGTCTTTCTAAACAATGCTTTAGTTTCATTGCTGGCTTGGCTAGCCATGGGTTGGAAGCATTTCTGCTTTCTTAGTAAGTGAGAAAAAATTTGTAAAATTTTTGGTCTAAGTTTTTATTTGAGTGTCATCATCTAAAAAAAAAAAAAAAAAAAAGCCTTTGCTCTTATTTAGAACTTTTCAGATTTGCAGGTCCTTGAAATTTGATGAGTTAATGCCCAGACTTCTGCACAGTGAATTTAAACCTTTGACTATATATTTGCTTTTCTTTGTCACTTTTCTTAGTTCTTGGTGAAATAATTCACAGGTGCTTTGAAAACAAGAACCTTAGTCAGCAGATATTGTTACAGGCTGTTGGAACCATTTTGCCTGTGGCACTTATTTCTTTTCAGTCTTGTAGGCTGTAAGACTTTTTGGTTTTGGTCTAAAGAGAAATGGTTCCTTTTTGTACCGAGAGCTTGGAACAGTTGATATTATTTGTTTCTAAACATGAGGCTTTTAAAAATATTATGCTGTGTTGCTACACTTACCTTTTTCAAAGCATTGGCGTGCACTTTCAAGCATGGCCTGGTAGCTTTGCTGTGTCTTGCTGTCTCCTCACAATGAAGCCTTGAAATCCCTGTGACTATTCTATTCTGTGGTCCCTTGATAAATGATTGCCATTCCTTCAAAGAAAAGATGATGCTTTTTCTTTCCTTTTTTTCCCTCTTTCCTGCTTTTGCACCTTCATTGAAGTCTCATGAATTCTTAACTTTGGCCAAGTAGGAAACTTTCTTCTGGCAAATTAATCTAATCCTAGTCATTAACTACAGAGCATTATATTACTGAAGGGCTGCAGATCTTGCGAGATCTGAGGTCTTTTGGTGAGCTTGCACTGGTGCTTGGCTTTAGGTATACCTGACTTCTCAGATACGGTCTTCTAGTCTGAAACTCATGGTAAAGCACCTTCCCACTGGAAGTGAGATCAGGGAACATCAAAAGGATAACAAAATATTGTCCAAGTAAATGTATTTTGTTTGCTTGTCCATCTGAGGCATGTATTTTATCCATAAAATAGTTATGAAGCTATTATTGGTTCATCCAGCCACGAGAAATTAAATGTTCAGATGTGTCCACATTCTATTGAAACCTGAATGGTATCAATCCTTTTAAACTTTAGCTGATGCCCTGAGTTAAACTTGGGTGTGCAGGCAAACCTTCAATCTATCAGAGACTTACTGTGAGAAACTAAGAGGCAAGATTATGACTTTGAAAATTCTGGTAAGGTGATACTATGCTGTGAATTACTGGTCCACCTCACAGCTATATATGAGCTTCTTTCTGACAAGGGGGTTATTGATGGTCTATTCTAATCACCAGTGACTTTAAGGTAGGTGGTTGGTTCTCCCCTGTCTTTTATATTAACCCAGAGTGCTAGCCTGAAGATTTACATTAAGTGTTAGTTAATATTAGTAATTACTTACCTTTTCTGTTATTTTGAAGCATAACAAGTTTTAAAACCTTCATGTGTGAAAAAAAATGTAGAATATTAGGTATTGTGTAAGTTAGATATAAATAACCAAACCTGTTTTCTTTCCACAGCTATTTGGACATTGGAGAAACCAAGAAAAAACCTGCTGAAGTCAATAATGAGGTAGGATGGCTGAAATATTGAAGAAATAAACCTGCAGTTTATGTTAGTGACATGCCTGCATTTAAATCTGATTTTTTAATATATTTTATTTAATTTTTAAATTAATTTTATTTAATTTTATAATGATACAGTTATCTACCATTCTGTACATATTTCTTCAGTGATTATTACTCTGGTTGCTCTGAGCTGATATATTGATTGTCTTCTGCTCAGCTTTCTAAATTGCCACATCCAGTTAAAAACTCAGTAAAAAAAAGATCTCCTGTTGTCTTCCTTGAATCTGGTCATAAACCTAAGGGAGATTTGTACTTGCAGAAAAAAATGGTAGGAATGAGACTTTTGGGAGTTTTGGACCAGCAAATTTTCTTCAAAACTTGGTATTTCCTCTGAAGAAGAGACATTTTTGTTTGAAAAATGCCAGTGTAAACTTTTAACTAGTTCTAGTCTATAATTTGCCAAGCTCAGTTGTTTCTCTTCAGCAATGCTTATGCTGTAGTTGGAGGAGATAACTGCAAGCTTCAAAAAGCATCATGTGGATTTGTGTGAGATGCGTGGCTCTGCATTATTTCTACTGTTTTATTTTGCATGGAGGTAGCAGTGACTCCCAGCAAACATTTGAGTTACAGCTTCTGCCTCACAAGAAGCATCAGCTCACTTGTTTGTCAGTTTCTTTTGCCTTGTGCTCTCGGGCTGCATTTTCAGCAATTCAGTGGATTGTATAGCAGGTGTCTTCAGACAGTAGAACACTACAAGATCCTCAAAATTGCCCTAATGACCTTTAGTGTGATACTCAGATACTTCTTATTCAGAAGCTATGTAATACAACAATTTTTTAGTTTAGCATAACTTGTCACCTGTATTTTTTTGAATGGACTCACTAAACAGGAAGATAAAATTCAAGTTGAAGATTTGATATGCTGCCGCTACAATTACCCTGTAAATTTATTCTTAGTTGGATACTTATCAGTACAACTATAACTTTGCTTTTTAAAGGCTGGTTTTAAGGCTGATTATTTTGATGCAAATCCTTAGAAGATTTTTGATATAACAGAAAGTCTGTGCAGTTGTAGAAGTTGTGAGGTTTTTTTTTTATTTACAGTTGCATGTTTGATAAAAGAGGCTTTTATTATTTTGTCTGGAATAAGTGCTCATTGTATATTATCTTAACACTTTCAGTCATGTCTCAGGGCTTTGAAGTAATCCAGTATAAACCCTCCATTATCACAGCTTTCTTCATATTTGACTTATGTTTGCAATCTCCACTATCTCCCTGTGGAGAGCTTAAATCCCTGTGCTGAATTTAAGTTTAACATGATTGATTTATTTGGGGAGAGAAGTCATAAAAATGAAATGAAACATATTGGTAGTCTACAGATTTTTATCTGGGTTTATGAATAACACAATTGTCTTTATGCCCTAATAATTTAATCCTTGGAGTGAACTTTCAGGGGACTAGTAACAGAAGTTTTAATGCCTAAATTAGTTTTTGTTAAAATGATATGAGGTAGCAAGTCCCAAGTTGCTTCTTTTTTTGGGTGTTCACTTAGAAATCAAAACCCTAGATTTGTTGTAGGACCAAGAGAGGCAGCATTGTTCCTATCCTGCATAAGTACAAGGGTATTGATTCTGATTGTATCAAGCACGTGTAATTTGGCATTTTCCCCACTAAAACAATTACAAATATCTGAGTCTGGTGAGTGTTCAGGGAGTCAAAATTAAGAAAACTTTATGCAGCAGCTGTACACTGTGTATTTCTATGCAGCTGTATGTTTTCTTTTGTGTTGGTTAAACTACCAAATGCTTGACATCTGCTTTTGGGAGCACTTTAATGTTTTTCTTGCAAGGCAACATCTCTATTACTTTAAATTTGCAAATAACTAGAAAATGTGTGTCAAACTAGAATTAAGCAAGTAAAAATTTATATTCAAGATATGGTGTAAATCCTCTGGCAGAGCCATCATGCTGCAATAATATGTCTCAAATTTGTGTTACTGGTAGGCAAAATAGTAAAAAGATTTCATCCTGACCCAAGCTAAAGTTTTGTTGCAAACTCTTTCTCCGGTGTGTTTCTATCCATCACTTCTTTTGGCAACTGAGCTACTTGTTTTTCAAGAGAGATCTCTTTTGTACCAAAGCTGATGTGCGAGTCCAAATACACGTTAAATTATGTGCTTGAGGAATCTAACAATTGATCTCTTGAGAAAATACAGACCAACAGAGTTGCCAGTTGTTTATTGTAAGCTTAATTGTTTTTAAAAGATACTGAATGTTATTTTCCAATTATAATGGGGAAAGAATGAACATCTGTATTTTTCTAGGCACTGTTTGATCTAGATGGTCTCTCCCTCTGCACTCAAAACGATGAATTTTACTCACCATTGGGGCTGGGCAAGCTGACGAAGAATCAACTGAGCTTTTGTATTTGCAAATCCTGTAGGCAGCTATTTATTTTAAACTCTCTTTGCTTCATGAAAATATGTTCAGCTGGAGCCTCCTTTCTTCTTTGACGTCTTATGATCAACTAGTCTTTGAACACATTGTAGTAAATAAACTTTGCCCAGTGATGCTGTAACAGCAAAGAATACCCAAGAAAAGCAGAAATATTTTCATATTGAAGAACCAGTCTCTCACAACTGAGAGAAAAAAGGAAGGCTTTACTGTCTGTATGAAACAGCATCTGTTATCAGAAGGCCATAGTAGGCCTGCAGAGAGCTACTCTACTGTTGATACATTTGCCCTTGGTTGATCTTAGGTAGTAAGAATGTTGCATTTTTTTGTCTGCACTTCCCTTTTTCTTCTGGACTTCTAGGACAAGGTGTTTGTGTGGGCAGGTTTAACAAAACTAAATCACATTTTCCCAGTGGTAAATCACTTTTTCACTGTTTTACATAAACTTATTTTATTGTTCCACAACTCCTTTTTGATTGCAACTTCTTGTTTTATCATTTGGTTTAGGTGCAGTCACATTTATAGGAGTATTTGTTGAATGGAATAATCAATATTTTTACAAATTCTTTACGTTATTCATATGAATTACAAATGTTTCTTCAGAAGACTAGTAAAGATTCCTCAAAGCTATCCTACATGTATATTTGTATCTGTATACACCTCCAGAACCTCTCCCTAGTGAAAACACTTACTAATCACAAGGATTTGAGTGAATGTCTGAACTTTTTAATAATTTTAAATTTCTTTTTCGGGTCCAGTGCCTATCAGTTCTCACATTGGTCACATTCTGGAAGACACAGACATGGGCTAGGACACCGAGTAAAGTGCTTTTGCTATCTAGGGAGCTTCACAGAATGTGTTTGTGCCTGTGATGAAGTGTGACTGCAGAGTGAAAATGTGACTGGCAGAATGTCTTCTATCAGTGGTCTCCAGATACAGCCCATCACTCAGCAGCTGCTGGGGGGTCTTGTGGACCAGACATACTTGGCTGGCAAATCTCAGTGTATGTTAGCTGGCCACTGTGTTCTTGGTGAGGTCCTGGGACAGGTCCTGGTTCCTGTTGTCCAGTGCTGACAGAAGAGGCAAGCACCATGACAGGGGAGTGTGATGTAGAAAATACAGTGTTTGAGACTTGGTAGATATGAACTGAGCACTAAAATTCTCCCCAAAAGCATTTAAGGTGCTATAAAATTATTTTGAAGACTTGCAAATCCTGCATTTCTTCCTGCTCCTCCATGTTTCAAAATTAAGTTATTCTAGTATCATTTATAGCAATTGTTTTTCCTCATCCTTTGTTGCTTGACAAAGTCACCACTTGTCTCTCAGCAGTGGTATGATTGCACTTACTTGTAAAAATTACATTTTGGAAGTATATGATGTTGTCTTTGTTTCACAAATTACTGTGGTGTATTCATGCTGGATATACCTTGTATCTAACTTGACGTGAGTCATTCTTTTCCCAGTACCTTCTCATGAAAAATCACAGTAGTTATAATTATTTTTTATTTCAAAACTACTGTTTATCATGTTTGACAACATACATGTTTAATCATTGGAAAAATCTTGTCATTTTTGGCTTATTGGGCTCTTGATTCACTTTAGCATCTAACTGTCAGTTAGAAATGGTTCATGGATATTTTGTCTGTACAGAAGATAGTTTTGTTAAAGGGACTGAATAGATACTAGAAATTATCCCAGGCTGTGCAAAATACAGCTTTTTGATGTCAAAACAATGTAACTACATAAGATATTCTTTCCAGATTCTTTCCTAAGGATTAAAAGACCTCAGACATTATTTGTGCAACCGAAAATTGCTAAACACAAAATAGTGTTTGGCTGGTAACAAGTTGTGTATAAAGGTCCACTTCATATTCCTTTTCCAGAATGCAAAACTATAGGTTATAGGTTGGATACTAGGAAAAAAAAATTTACAGAAAGAGTGATAAAGTTCTGAAATGGTCTGCCCAGGGAGGTGGTGGAGTCACCATCCCTGCATGTGTTTAAAAAAAGACTGGATGTGGCACTCGGTGCCACGGTTTAGTTGAGGTGTTAGGGCATGGGTTGGACTTGGTGATCTTGTGATTCTGTGAATTCTGTAAACCCTCTTGCTACTCCATATCTGACACATTTGATTTCTTTGGCTGGCATCACAGACCGGGCAAGAATTTTTTATTTTCTCGTGCTAAATTAATTAGTAATTCTGCTGTAAGCGTATTTTCAGGAATAAGACTATTAAAATGTGAAGTTTAAAAAAAATGTGATATATATCTTTAATTTCCTGAGCAACATCTTTAATAGTTAAATGTGATATGCCATTGTTTGGTATTTAGTATCCTGGTAACATAATTAGCACAAGACATACAAAACAAATACCCTTCCTGAGTGTTCACAGCCTAATACCAGGAGGAATTATAGAACTGCCCAGACATCCAGTTAGAAGATAAGCCGTGCCCTTTTTTTCCTTATTTGAATGATGGATGCATAAAAGTTCTCTTGATATACTTCTGTGTTACCTGAACTGTGCATTTTCAAGTATTTTGACTAGCAACTTGCTTACAAATGGATTTATTGAATTTTTGAGCAGCAGAAAGACTTTGGTTCATGTTACTGGAGAATTCAGTGGTCTGTATTGAGTCTGAGCTGAAACTTGAAAGTTGTTCTCTTCCTTGATTAAGACCTGCCTTGTTCATTGAGTAGCTGTTCTTCCTGGCCTGTGAGGAGGCCAGGGAGAGTGAAAGGTACCAGTACTGAAACTTTTAATGAGGCATGTGTTAGTCTCGTTAATAATTTGCTGCTGTGTATTAAATTGACTTACTTGAAACATTAAAAGCTTTTGCCTTTGATTAAAAATGGTGAAGAAAAAACAAAGATTTTTTTGTGGGTTGTGTTTTGTACTTCAGCTGTTTGACTGTTCCTAGCTTCAGGTCCTTTTGATGAGCTGTAAAAGCCAGAGACTTGCTTTTGGTTTAATTAGTCTAAAGAATTTGGGGAAAATACACAAAATGTGAGAGGCAAGACCAGCCAGAATCGTCACTATGATGTCAGTGTCAGAAATTAATATCAGGATCTATTTTGGTTGAATAAACTCTGTTATTGATGCCATCATTGTGTGTCTTGTAAGCAGTGTGGGTACAGCATCGTGCAACTCAGAAGAAATGGGAGCTATTCTTGGGATCCAGAGAGAACACAGATGTGATCTATTTTGGATCATTGCATAGGCTATGTGTCTGGGCCAATAAGGCCATGCTATTGTTTGACTTATCCCTGCTGAATATTTGGCCATTAGTCCCATGTCCCAAAGTCATGGTAGATCCAGACCGAAAATTTTTTCTTTCCAGGGCTTAAATAGCTGAGGTGAGATGTACAGAGAATATAAACTCCATTTCACTTACTGTGGCTGAAAAGGAGGGCAATTTACCTTGGAGGTGAACAGGTTGGCTTTAAACACTGGGAATTTTGTAGGAGCTTTGCAGTCTAGAAGGCTCCCTTAGTCACTACATGATTGTCTGCTGTGGAAGACTCATTTCCAGCTCATCCATGTTTTCTGTGTGCTGAGAAGTTTGTGTGCAGCTGTGGTCTTGTGGCCTGTTGCTCAGTTAATAGCAGTTTGAGTGTTGCTTTATATGCACCCCAGTAGAAAGGTTTGTAGTCTCTGGCTCAAGGCCGGTCTGTACTATCCAGAGCACTATCTACTAACAAAGTAGCCAGGGAGATGTGGATTATCCAAGTTAGTTACTGCGTAGGATAGCTGAAATGGTTTTGTACTAGGCAGACAGCTCAGTGAGTTTGACTGTGCAGCTTTAGTCAATGTGTAAAAAATGTGCATTATAAAAAAGTCATGTTTCCATGAAACAGATAACATTTCCTGTGCTATAATAGCTTTAGAAAACTTATTGTTCTAGTTTGGTTTTGATCGCTGAACCTTGAACATTCCTTTCTTTCACATCACAGGGTGGTGATGGTGTGTATCAATGGGATTTTGGTTCTTTTGACCCCAGTTCTACCCCAGGGAAATGTAAATATTTGTTCTCAATTTTCCTGGGCACATTGATTAACAAACAGGCCATTGTAACAAACTGGCAAGGCCATGGCTCATTGCATGAGCTGATAAATTTGGAATGTGACATTGTGTTGAAATATTTACAGCTTCGAAAGGTTAGTTATAAAGTGACGTGAGTAATGAGTGAGATGTTCACAGCACGCAGGACTACATTGGTAGCAGTGAGAAAGGCCAACTTTCAAGCCTGCACAAATCAAAGCAGCACAGAGCATCTGGTTCAGACACATTGCATTTTTTGACTCTTGCTTTTTTGCTGTCCAGTGTGGCTTTGTGATACGTTATCCTGTAAATCATGCAGCTGTTTAATTGCCCGCTTTGATGGGGGGACATTTCTGGTAAGGAAAGGAAATAAATCAGTTAGTGATACCATTTCTTAGCTATGAGTAACTTGTGTGTGTATTCATGGCAGCACTGTGAAAGTATTTAGCATATGTCTAATTATTTAAAATGACCACTGAAAGGAAAATATAAGAATGTTACATTTCTATTTGAACCTATCCTCAAGTGCATTTTAGAAACTGAATATGTAGACTGGCCTGTTCAGAGACCAGTTAAAATGCTAATTTATTAACTGTATACTCTTCTTATATACAAGTATTGACTCTGTGAAGTGTCATGTGCCTTTTGCAAGTCCCAAGTAGCCAAGAGGACGTTGGGTAGTTTTCAGAGTCTGTCCCACTTTCCAGTCTATATTTTTAAAATAAGTGTTGAGAAGTATAGTGCAGCATTCATAGAAACAAAAACTCTATGCGTGGGGACCAGCAAATAGGTTCACACCAACCAAAACAAATAAATTTGATACATCTCCATGTTAGAGATTATGTTTATTATCTTTTACTGGTTAGCATGTGTCTGAAGAAAGAAGTGAAAACTATTAATTTTTATCTGTATACTTCAAACCAATGTGTGCCTTGCTCAGAGTCCTTACATGAGTAGCCATTGTCAATGATGATTTCCATTTTATGCCATATGTGTGACATTCTCTTCCCAGTGTAACACTTCTTGGAATTAGAAAGATGGCATAAGCAAACCCATTCATAGTGCTCTAAAAAGGAGTGACATGTTTTTAGTTATTTAATGAGTTGGACTCTGCATCTTTTGTCATTGTGTATAAAAACGCCTGTTAAAAAAAAAAAAAAAAAGAAAAAAAAAGTAATGTTTCTAGGAAACAGATCCTTCCTGTGCTGTAATGGCTTTAGAAAACTTACTGTTGTAATTTGTTTTCAAGTAGTCAGCTGAACATAAATGTAACAGAATTTTTTAAATGAAAATTGTATTAAAGTGTGTATATATTTATGCATACACACATATTATATTCAGCTATACATGTGGATATGCACAGACTAATTCAAAATGGTTTTCCTACAAAAATATGACACTATGCCTCAGGTAATGGTTTGGCTGCTGGTCATTTAGCTTTGTTTTTGGGGTTTTTTTCCAACAGTCAACACTGGAAGACGTAAGTACCTAAACTAGATTGAGCAATGTGTTGTATGTGTTTCTTAAGTGTTGTGTTTGTGTTTGTTAAATTTTGAAAATATTTAGAATATAGCTATGTTTAGAATATAAGTGAAAAATATATATATATAGGATGTTGTTTAAAACAAACAGCTGTGAGGGCATGGATTTTATTACCTTTCTTCACTTGGATGCTGATGTGCTGTGTGTTTGTATTTACAAAAGGCTGTTAGGAGACACTCAGAGCTAATCACAAGTTCAACCCCAGTGTGTTATGACCGAAGATGAAAGCTGGACTCCCAAGAGACTCTGTAAAAAGTGTTCTGAGATTTAAGTGTTTACAGAGTTCTCAAATACTGCAGAGTGATTCCCATTCCCAGAACCTAACCTGTGCTGAGTTTAGCTGTTTTGTTTTTCCCAGACTTTGAAAGGTGCTTTGCAAAGTCATTTCACAGATGATAACTCCTCTCTTAAGTAAGGGAAATCCATTGTGCTGTAAGAGGCTCTGTGTGAAATACCTTTTATTTAAAGAATGGAAAAATAAAAAATTATAGTGGTTTTGAGTGTCTGTGATCCCATGGTGTATTTCCAGTTGTGTAACTCTTGTTGCCTTGCAAATTGTCATTGAATTGATTGCTTCCAGCTTTCATGAAGTTTTTTCTGAGTTCCTCCTTCCTCCCCTGGACACTTTGTGCTGCTGCTGTGTGTTGTCGTGTAATACCTCAGATCAGTATCTCATCACAAATTATGAATTGTTGGCAATGTTTGTCAGTAGGAAATGGAAGCTGCCCTTAAATGGGTCTTTTCAAACAAACTGAAAATGTACAAAATTTAAAGATAAAATCATAATGGGGTCAGACCACTGATTAATGTAAATCTTGCAGTTGCTGACGTAAATGGTAAAGTGCTGATGTACATCATCAGAGAATGTGGCTGGCGAAATGAAAAGAAAATAAAGGGGTTAGGGGGCTAGTGATGCTGGTCTCTTAATGTAAGCACAAACTTTTACCCAAGACCACTTGGTTGTTAATATGTAACTCTACAGTGCCGGAGGGGTCAGGATATTCCAGACACTGCAACAATGTGGTGCCTCCTACAAACATAATAGGAGCAGAACTATGTATTCTTTAATTAACCCCTGAACCAGGTCTTTCACTGGGATGGTTTCGTGGAACTCCATGTAACTCAAAGGAAATAAACTGGTTTACTGTGGCTGAGCACTTGGTGTTTTATTTATGTATACGCCTGTATTTTGAAGTTAGGTGCCTTGCTTTTCATGACCATAAATAGTTTAACATTGATCAGACAGAAGTTATTCTAAACTCTACAAACAGAACAGTCAGATTAATGAAAAGAAACATGTATAGTATGGAAGTGGTGGGTTTTTTCTTACCTTTTTTTTTCTTTTTAATCACAGTGTAGTGTGATCTTTATAGAACATGCCTTCAGAGCATGCTTCCTTGCACTGATTTTTGTAGTTTCATTTTATCAAATGTATTATTGCACTAACATATTATCTTCATTTTTTTAATACATATTTTTAATACATTGATTTAAACAGGCTTAGATAAACAATGCAAGTTTGTATTTTATTCCAGTTTAGGCCATGCTTAGGTGGAACAGACAAATATTTAGTTGTGGCCCAAGCTGGTCCCATGTTATAATCCCCTGCAGTTTGCTTGTTTAATAACAAGCCTAAACTTGTAAGGTGCAGAAGGCTGCCAGAAATACTAATGATCTTCAGAGAGCAACCCAAAAGACAAACTTCCAGGTTGATGCTTCAGTATCTATTAGGGGCAGAAATACAATCCTTTAAATAATAAATGGGCTCTTAACATCTGTCAGATTATTGTTTTCTCCAGGGTCTGGTGACTGGGCTACACGCAATCACTTGATGGCTTCTGAGGAGCCTACACCAAAATTAATGCCTGAGGCCACAAGCCTTCAGGAGCAACCAAGTAATAGGACACACCTAAGACTATCCTAAAGGGCTTCTTTATGCTTAGTGAATGCTTTCTAGTTGTTCCAGTGAAGTGTGGAGCATTGGAACCTGAATGTTGCAGACTGCATCAGAGAACTTAATTTGATGGACTGTTTGGAGAGACTGTGGGAGAGCTTGAGCAGCATAAGTGAGCATCAGGAATGGATGTGGAATCAAGTTTTAGAAAAGTGATATATAATTTTACTATTTATGTATTAGATATTTTATAGGGGATTATCCTGGCAACCTACCAGCTACAAAGAAAGGTGTAAGGGCATACAAGGTTCAGTAACTCCCATTTTGTGTTTGGAGCCTAAACATTAAGACCTGATGCTATGGAAGTAAATCAGTATTGTCTTAGCCTCGGGTAGCATAACCTTTAGACAGTTACTTTTTTTCCCCCTGTATTCTGAAGCTCTTTATGAGATTGCTTACACTGAGAAAATAACCCTTTAATGGCTGACAGCAGCAATAGAAATGTTTTCAGTTGTTGCAGTTTAAAGTTTATTTTCTTTTTTTCCCGGTAAATTTTAATTTCAAATTTTTTTGACATATATGACCAGTTATGCTCTGAAGAATATGTTTCAAATGTTTCTGCAAGAATGGCTGAGCTCCTAAGTTACTTGGCAGTTGTCAAAAAATGTCTTTTCCTCCCCTAATGAGCTGTATGATAACAACCTCTTACTCTCTTTCCAAGCCTTTAGTAGTAGTTGTGAATCTTTCACCTGATTCAGATCACACTGGAATTGACAGCAAGACTGTGAACTACAATTACCTTACGCATTAGTGCGTAGTTTATGTACAGTCTAGTACAAAATTTCTCTTTGTATGAGGCCAAAACAAACCTGCACCTACAAAATAGATCTTAAGGAGTAAATGCAAATGGCTTGTGAATTGCTTGCATTAAGGGAAGGTTCCCAGCCATGCCAGGAGTCTGCTGCCTAGTCTGGTCTGCAAGCAATGCTGGCACAATGCAGTAGTAACATCTTCCTTGCTGTCTCTGCTCTTGCAGATGTCTCTGGCCAAAATATCCCTTTACACTGACCTTCAAATCACCATGCCCTTCTGGGGCTGATTGCTTCTGTTTAGTCTTTTTAGTCTATGGAGCTGTGCAAAGGCTGATTCTGCCTTTCTCCATCCATAACCACTGTGGGCTTTTATGTCCTCTGAGTCTCTCAAAACACAAGTGTTTGAGAGGGCTACACAGCTCACAAGGGCCTTTTGAAAACCACAAAAAGTTGAAGTGAGTTGAATTCAGAATAAATATGCTTCTTTTTCAGCAAACATTGAAAACAGATTTTGTTCAACATATTTACCTGTTGTATTTTACTTGAAATGATTGTACACTAAGGAGTGCCATTATTGCTTTTGTTTTGTTGGTTCCTTTTCTCCTAAGTTTGCTATCACCTCCAGAATTTATGTGCTTGGTGCAGAATTTACTGTGTGACATTCTTTGACCCATATGGGAAGTCAGATTTGATTATTTTAATAATAATTTTTCACCCATTGGGACTATCTACTAGGTTGAGCACCTTTCTTTTCAGCGTATGCTCGAGAAACAACTGGAAAACATTCTAGTCATTACTAAATGAATTTGTGTGGAAGTCCAAGCAAAGACTGAAAGCATTGGAGTTCAGACCATTTCCTACAAATTAAATGAGAAATACTGGTTAAGTTAGCACAGAGTGTGATAAAACTGCAACATATCATGTCATTAGACTGCTTTACATGGTGACTGGAAAATTGCCAGTTTAAATAAACTTTGTATATCTATTTGAAAGCATGTCTCTCTGCACACCAGCTATTTAATCCTTTAAGCTTCTGTGGTATTTTTTTTAGAAATGTAGTGAACTTGTAAATGCAGGTACTATAACTTTCAACTGTTTGTTTGGGTTTAACACCTTATTTTGATTTGCTAATGATGAAGAATTAAAAAGAAATCTTCCTAATGATTTTGGAGTTTGGGTTTATCCTTTTTTTTTTTTTTAACTTTCTGTTCAGAATAACAACATTAATGTTGATCTCAGTGCAGTGTCCATTCAAAAGAGTAGAGGGAATAATTCTGGGAATTAAGTACCCTATGTATTATTCTGAAGGCTAAAAATCTGCAGTTCACCTCACTTTTGAGTCATTGCTCTAAAATGAGCAAAGTATTCAGGAACTTTTATAAATTACTGATGGATTTGGATTAAAGGCCTGTACAAGGCCAAAAGTAGTTATTACAATAGCAGAGGGATCTAGCAACATCATTTATTGTTAAAAAGAGAAGATAGTTAAATTGCCTGCACCATGGTTATAAGCAATAAAGACTAAGACAGCATGAACAGCATTTGGGCATATTTCTTTGGGTCTTTAGAACAGCCAAAGATGTCCGTACAATTCTGTCTCCTCAGTGCAAACCACGTGTTGTGCCATGTTGCACTGTGCTGTGCTGTGCTGTGGTTGTTATTCATCACACATATAAACCTGCAGCAGTAATTATGTGTGCTCTGTAGAAGGTGAAGCTGGAATGGAATAAAATGCATGCTTTAAAGACCTGCTATCCCACTTGCTGATGGTGGTCAGGGTAAATTTTTTTCTGACTATGAGGACTGTGTAACTTCTAATTCTTCTTTTGTTCTTGCAGGTCAAGCCAGTTACTCACAGTAGGATCACTGTGTCAGCACGGTTTCGAAAGCCACTCCAGGAGCCCTACACTATTTTGTAAGTAGAATTTTCATTTAGTGGGTTGCCATTTCAGGGATGGTGGTGGTATTGTGTTCACTTCAGGTGACCTTTGTTTAAAATGCTCCTCCAAGTTATTTTACTTTGCTTTATTTCAGCCTGCTTGCTAATGGAGACCTTATTAGCCCTGCAGTGCGCCTCCTCATTCCCAGGAAAACACTGAATCACTGGGATCGTATTCTTGAAATGGTGACAGGAAAAGTTACCCTCAGAAGTGGAGCTGTTCACAGGTATAAGGAACTGAATATTTGCAAGATACATTTTATATGCCGAGATATGTTTCTAAAACTCCGTAGGTAGTTATAACGGGTCATTCCTATTTTATGGGAAGTTTCACTGTAAGAAAATTAAAACATACCAAAAGGCCACAAAATGGAAATACATTGACTCTAAGTAACCTTCAGATTTCATTTCCACTGCTATTTAAAAAAAGAATAACTGCAATTTGCTTAAACTGTTATTTTAAAATTAATATTCATTCATTAATTATTTAATTAGCAGGCCTGTAATATTACAATAATAATGCAATACATTTAGTACTAGCAAATAAGTTACATCTCATAATGAAATAAAGGAGCATGGTAAAGTTGGTGAAGATATTTGGAATGTGAGATACATGTGATGTGTGTTACTTTTTAATTTTGATAGTTCTTTAAATTCATTGGAGCAAACAATTTCAAGGAGAATATTATAGATTCTTTAGGGTTTGTATACCTGGGGCAAGACTAGGATGTGCTTCAAATGCGGCACATCCTCTTAATAAAAGCCAAGGCCAAAGTTGTTACTGGGGTTTGCCAGTTCCAGTATCTCAGCTGGTCTGAGTTGTTGAGGTATCTGAGGAATAGGAGGTGACCTCTTGGATAGATAGGTTTCAGTCCCTCAAGGCTTCTACAATGTAAAATAAATTACCTAAAATGGCATTTGGTAGTTGTTACAAGTTTTAGAGCAAAATGGTAGATGTGATGTCCATGAGAAACACTGCAGTGTTAAGTGGGCTCTCAAGGTGTGCAAGCAAATTACCGACATTCCAGTGTTGCCCCATGCAGAGCACATTACAGAAATCACTTCATCAGGTGGGAAAGGACCTTCTGTGGAAAATCATTCTTCACAGCCTATGGAATATCTGAGGCTAAGCTTGCAAAATCTTTCTCAAAACAGATAAGATAAGAAGATAAGGTGGTCTTTTAGTTCTTCTGCTTGCTTTCCGGTTTGATAAAGGTGAGAGAAGATTGAGGTAATGCTGTTGAATATTAGCTCTCATCAAGTTTTTTCTCTCAGCCCCACACTTCTTTGCTCCTGTTAGCTGGCTGCTTATGACTTGCACTTGCAGTACAGTAAACCTGCATGTGTTGAAGCTTTCTGGGTCTGTTTCTCCACTAGTGTAATTCAGAAGTGAACAAAGCGAGAAAAGACATTTACAACATACCAATTCTTTCTGCTCTCAGGTTGTTTAGCAATTTAAAAGTCTTTCTCATTTTATTCTCATTACTTGGTGTCACTCTGGTGAAACTGAATGTTATACATGAAAGCATTCAATATATAACTAAGATTCCTTTTGAGACGTTCCCTTCAGTGCTCATCTTTAATCCTTCAAAAATAAGATAATGCATATGACATTTTAAATTTTTTAATATTTTCCCCTTGCTGTTTTTCTATTAACTCAGTTTTCATTTTCTTTTCTTTAAAATATTAGAAATACATATTAAATCCATTAGTTAAGTGATCATAGTTCTCTAGTAAGTTACACATTACTTGCAGGGGTTTATTGAAATTGTGTTAGCATTAGGGGAGATCTGGTAAGACCACTGACTCTGGGAAGATGCAATTTCTCATTAAAGAAGCATAAGTGGATTTACAAGAACCTGCATTATGTACAAGGCAGCTTTTTCTTTTTCATGTTATTAAAAGACTTAAAAAGCTACCAAGTCTCACAGTTTCACATGAGGCTTTTTAAAAAACAAATTATTGATCACCCTGGTCAGAATAGAGATGCAAGCATGAAATATGAGAGGGGAGATAATGGGAAAGCAGCTTTTCTGCTTGCCAGATTGTTGATGGGGATGGGGTGCAGCAACCTGAAGGCAGGTACTGGGTGCATCAGCAGCCGGGAATCTGGGGATATTATCCCAGAAATTGTGTCTTTGCTGTCTCCCTTGCTCAGCCTGTATGCTTTCTTTCCTTTGGCTGTCACTTTTTAGCTTGGATTCAGGAGGGAAAGTGGAAGTCCACATCTTGTGACATTTCACAAGGCAAACTTAGGTCATCCTCAGAAGAAGTGACCACAAGGACATTTTTGTTATATAATACAAGCCAGAGAACCCAGCTGGTCTGTGAATGGTTGTGGCAAAGTGGGTGGGTGAAAATTGTGGCTTCAAAATTCAGAATTTGTGAAAAAGTAGCTTCAGAAATTTGTGTCACAAAACTTGTGTGTGCTTGTTAAGTCCATTTAGTTAGTTATTTGTTTGAAGATCCATTTTTAAGTAATGCATTTTTGATTTCACTTTCATCTTCAGAGACTGATTATGTTAGATTTTGCTATTGTGATTATTATTTTCAGGGTGAAAAATACAATTAAAGATTGCCAGGTAATCTGTAACATTTATTTGAGTTATATTAAACAACTTCTGCACTTTAAATATAACATTAAAGCACAAGCAAAATGAAAGATCAGGAACAAAAATACCCCAGTTATTTTGTATGTACCCCTCTATATCTGCAGCCCCATACAAATATATAAACAATTCTTAAGCTGTGGTACACTGATGTGCTGGTTTTTCCCCCAGATTCCCAAAGTGAAATGCAATCTAGCAGAGCACAGTGAGATTAATTCAGAAATAGGCTTCCTGCTGATTTTCTGATAGCTTGTTTTATTTTCATTGTTTGTGTGTAACTGATGTTGACTCTGTGGTAGTGAAACATAAATTGCTCTTTGAATTGCTGGCATGCCTGTGGAATGTTTGCACTATGAAATAAATATGAGTAATACAAATGAGGTGCTCCAGAGTTAAGCATACCTCTTCTCAAGGAGGCAGCAATGTGATCTAGATTTAAAGTAGCTGCAATTTTACCTTTAAAAACGTTCAGTCTTTGCACTTAGAAACGTGTTCCCATGTGGCAGGAGACACACAAAAAATTAGGGTACTTTCACGAGGACAATACAACAAAGACATGGACATGCAGGAACAAGTGCAGCAAAGGGCCACAGAGAGGAAGGGCTTGAAGATACTTGTAGTGTGAGGAGAGCTGGGACTCTGCAGCCTGAGGAAGAGAAGGCTCAGGGGGCTCTTTTAAATGTGTGTATATTCCTGGTGGGGACGGGTGAAGAAGACAAAGCCAGGCTCTTCTCAGTGGTGAGCAATGATAGGACAAGAGGCAATGGGCATGAAATGAAAGAAGGAAATTTTACTTGAACAGAAGAAAAAAGAAATTTACAGTAATGGTCATCATATATTGGAACATGTTACCCAGAGAGGCACTGAAATCTCCATCCTTGAAGGTGTCCAATACATACTTAGAGACAATCCTGAACAACCTACTCTAGTTGTTCTTGCTCTCAAGGTATGATTGGTCTAGGTGGTCCCCAGACATCTTGTCCAACCTCAGATATTCTGTGATTCATGGTTCAGTAAAGTGCATGATTTTCTTCTGTGTTTATTCAAGGTTATGCCACCACATGTATCAAGTTTAAGAGCTCTTTCTATATTAAACTGAATATTTTTTGCACATTATAAGTCAAGGGTGTATTCAAGGTAGCCTCCTGATATTCTTCCCCAAATGTTCATAGTATGGTTGTGTATATAATTTTACATCTCCTTGCAGTGTGTTGAAATTTATGACTATAAATTCATACATAGTATAGCTCCTGTGGAAGGTTTCTAGAAAGGCAGTTAAGATAGCCATTCAACATTCCTGCATTTAAGACTTTAATGAAAGTTGTTATTGTTGACTTTTAAATGAAATATAAATATTGTTGACTTTCGAACCATGCTGTGTAGGAAAGAGCTAATTTATTATTGAATGTTCCTCCTTACTCAGTGTTTTGACCATGCCAAAATAAAATCACGAACTTGACAAGGAAGTAAATTCTCCCCACCAGTCCCTGATGCATTCCTGTCTTCTCAGAAAGAAGTCATTATGGTAAAAATCCACCTGGTGTAATAGACATAGTCATTATTGATATGTGCTCAAGATACATGGCTTCTTGTTTTAATGTAGTGTAGTATTTCCTGTTGTTCCCATCAGGTTCCAACCTTCTAATCTACACAATGCAACAATATAAATGCAATGTTTTTGGCATGGTCTGTGATAGGTGGACAGGGCTTTCAGTCATGAATACCGTGTTCTTGCCAGATTACTGCATAACTCCCTGAGCACGGATAGAAGGTAGAACTTAGTAGGAGAGGGGTCAGGAACACATGGAATATATTACTTCCACAGTAACAGGGAAAAGGTGTTGAAGACCTTAGAAATATAAAGTAATTTATTTCTTTCTAGAAATTAGGGGAGTATTTAATCTATTATAGCACTTCACACTTTGTTAGTTTTATATAAACTGTGATTTAAATAGTTATTTTGCTAGTTTTCCTTGGTGGTTTGTTCTGGGTTATTTTTGGGTTTGGTTTTTTTGGTTGGTTGGTTGGGTTTTTTAAAAATGTAGTTGCTGATCATTGTGTGGTGTCTGCTGTAAGTTATTGGGTTTGATATCTGGAAATTCAACATATATTTAGTGAGTTTAGATTAACATAGCTTTCAATGCTCTTAATGCACCTAACTGAATGTTAAGGTTTATTATAATAAGCATTTTCATATTTTTTCAGACTCTACACTGTTGATGGAAAACTTGTTCAGAATGGGTCAGACTTGGAGAATGGGCAAATGTATGTTGCCGTGGGTAGAGAAAAGTTTAAGAAATTGCCGTATGGTGATGTGCTGTCCAAATCTACATCGAGAAGGTCACAGGGGTAAGTTCTAAAGGTGTGTGATACACTCCTGTGTGCTTGTGTGTGTCAATAGTAAAGTACAAAATTATTAATCCAAGAATGATGCGTGGGTTAGTACTGATGCAAAACTTCACTGTCAGCTTCTGAGAAAGCTGAGATAAAAGCAGAAATGGAAATTCAGAAGACCAGTTAATCTCATAAGCATTCCCTTGATCATGTATCACAAAATTAGCATCTGAGAAAAATTAATCTAAGTCAAAGTAATCCTATTTTTTTTTCTTGGGATACAAATGTGTACAGCTGAATGAGATTAGGTGCAGCTACTGCAGTTTAGGTCTACTCTTGGTTAGTAATGTGAAATATATACTCCCTTAAGATTGTTTTATGTTTGGGTCTATTTTTTGTAGGCTAGAACAATCACATAACAGAGTCCTAAACTGGGTGTCTGTAAGGAGAAATTTGTGCTTTCTGTACCTTTGGAAAACATGAGGATTTGGAAACATTTCATTGAAATAAAAGGAAAGAAATTGAAGTTGTAAGGAGAATTCACATAGTAATTCACTCAATACAGCTCTGCAAGGTTTTGGTGCATAAAGTATGCATTGTGGGGTAATGCACTTGTTGAATAAGTTAATGATTATGCATTTAAACATAGTCTAATAAACAGAACAAGTGATGCTTAGTGAAAACACAAAGTGAAAAAAACAATTACCTCTGTTGCCATAGCCATCTTGGTGTTATCTGACTTGATTATAGATACATAATGTCTGTGCCAATGACAGGATACACAATTCTAATATATGGCTTATTCCTGCAGTTCCAAAACCTCTGTACTTCCTCCAATTGTGGGATCTCGAAAGTCTAAAGGCAGCGTAAGTATCAAATTTCTAATTCAGCTAAATTCTGGCAGATGGCAAGTCCCTGTCCTTTGGGTTTTAATTAAATCTGAAGAGAAAAAAATTCACAGCCATGTGGTGGCATGCTTATTAAAGCCTGATAAATCTGTAGCTATTTGCAGTGTCAATTAGACAGAAGAAATCTGAGAAAATATTGTTGTGATAAGGGCTGCTTTGTTTTTGATAAAAGCTTCCATAGCAAAGATCAGCTGCTGGGTTGAGGTCTTTCCTATAAACCTGATAATTTTTGTATTTATTTATTTATTTATTCAAATTATATACCTAAAGGAAAAACACAGAACCTTTCACAAAGGTTTCTAAACGCCGAGTCTGAAAAAGGTCCAAACCAGTTTGCAATCTGATATGTTTTATTCTAGGTAACCACTACATACAGAGCTTCATCCTTCTCTGCTTTGCATCCTGTTTAGCTATTTATATGTGTACAAAATGAGTCAGGGAACCATTAAGGTTGGAAAAGACCCCCAAGGTCATCGAGTTCAATCTCTGACCTATCACCACTGTGTCAAGTAAACCACAGCACCAAGTGCCACATCCAGTTGTTTCCTAAACCCTTTCAGGAATGGTGACTCCACCACTTCTCTGGGTAGCCTGATTAAGCATCACTGCTTCAGTGACAGAATTCTTCATTATGTCCAGCCTGAACCACCCTGGCATATCTTGAGGCCCTTTCTTCTTGCCCTGTTGCTTGTTGACTGGGAGAAGAGCCTAACCCCACATTGCTACAAGAAGAGTCCTCTGTGGATTTAATTTTAGTGCGAAAACAGAATATAAGTATCTGTTTTTACCAGTTCTCCAAAAGTGCAGTTTGCTGTACAAGTACAAGACAGCAGGGAATCAGACTCACAGTATGTCATTATAATTGTGGTAGTTGATCATGTCCATTCACTCTTTACAAAAGAAAACAAAACAAAATGAGTCTCTGGAGCCACTAAAAAGAAGTAAGCAATCAAACATACAAGCTTCTCTTCACATTCCATTGAATGTGTTACTGCCCTGTGAAGACTGTCATTCTTCTCCAGCTTCTCTTGACATTTAGAATAATGCCCAGGTCTCATTTACACAGACAGTGATTTATTAACGAGTCATATTAACGTGTTATATCTTGTGGCTGTCCACACATATGGATGAGAGATAGCTGCACATTAGAGGCATGCATGCATAGATTCATCTAGCCATTCTTTTTCATTAAATGAAAGATTATTTTCTTATAATAAATATGTGATTTTTCTCCTGGAAGCTGTTGAGAATTTAATTGGTCAGATCATACAGTAGGATAGTTATACTCTTCTGGATGATTTAAGATATCACTGAAATGTAGTAGTTGTAAATTATTATGCTTCTTTCACACCTGATATCAGTCCTTAATGAAATTTTAAAAATAAGTTTTTTAATTTGCTGATAATCACTGATAATTACATCCTCTTCTTTTCAGGGAAATGATTGGCAATCTAAATCTACCAGTGACCGGGGAGAAAACAGTTCCTCGCCTCAGCTTCCCAAAAGAAAAGACAAAAAAAGCCAGAATCCAGAGAATTCTGTTTCCAGACGACACTTTTCTAGCCACTCTACAAAAGGAAAACAGACAGTAAAAGCTTCCACAGGAGTCCTTCAGGATAACGGTCAGTACTGAGATAAACACTGTTGTAGCATAGTGGCTTTTGGTCTTCAATTAAACCAGTGAAATAGTAGAATAACACACTTGAATAGTTATTAAATTGTCCATTTACTCTGGGAAACTGGAATTGCCAAGTTCTTTCTGCTTAGGAAATGCACCTGTGCATCCCCACTACATTCTTGGCTTCATTTACAGAGCACAAGAGGCTGTGTATGATGTTTAGTATACCTTGGAAGTTAAGCTCATGTGGTTCTATCATTATGCTTTTGGTAAAGGAAAATAAAAAAATATATTTTCACCATTTTCCCACTGTTCTGCACTGCAATAAGGTGAAGAAAAGGAGCTGGTGTTCTCAAAGGACCCCTTGCTGTCCCTGAGAATCCCTGATTACCTGCCTGACTCTGTGTAACAAAACAACTAGAGCCTGGGGGAGGAAGGAACACAGACAGAAGCTCCAGTTAGCTGGTAGCTGCTGTGACTAATTCTACAGCAGAACTGCTGGAGGCCCTTTCAGAATTTGCCCTTCTCTGTTCTGTGACAGCAGTGGCAGCAGTTTGCAAATATAGGCACAAACATCCATATATAGGGAAATATTTATGTCTCTGTATGTTATGCTGTTGCTGCTCCACCTGCTGACAGAATTGGTTGGAAAGCCTCTAAGTTTATTGAAGAAGTGACTGTTTCCTTCTCACTTCAGCTTTTCTATGCTTTGTGAGTCTTGTGTAACTAGGAGAAGCTGTTCAAGGCAGCAGATTGTCTAGTTTGAGCTCAAATGTATTTTTGGAGAAGCTCTGTGATCCTCTATATTAGCTCCATATATAAAGACCTGTTAGTAAAAGTGAGAATAGGCAGTTGTAGCCAGGTGAGGTTCAATGTCTTCTCCCAGGTAAGAAGTAACAGGACAAAAGGAAATGGACTCAAGTTGCACCATGGGAGGCATAGACTGGATATTAGGAAAAATTTCTTCACAGAAAGGATTATAAAACATTGAACCTGCTGTCTAGGGAAGTGGTGGAGTCACCATCCCTGGAAATATTCAAAAAAAGTAAGGATATGGTACTTGAGAACAAGGTTTAACTGGTGGTGCTGGGTTGACAGTTAGACTTGATCTTAAAGTTAGACTTGATCTTTTCCAGCCTTAATTATTCCATGATTCTAACTCTTGAGAAATTAAAGTCTTTTCACTCACATGTGACTCACTCACTCAGTGGAGTGTGGGAGCTCCACTGTGTTTAGATCTTTGGTAGCTTGTAGGGAAGTAGTTAAAAGAAAACAATGACTCCAAAACGTCACTTCCTGCAAAGCTATTGTCTTTTGTACATTCTGTTCTGGTCACACTTCAAGATGAAGTGACCTGAAGCACAGGCCAGGCAGGCTGTAGAGCTGTGAGCCATGCTGCTGTGGGAGCATCCCTTGCCCAGCCAATCCTCATTGTCAAAGACTGCCCGTGACAGAAAGCCAGCACTGCAGAAGTGCCCATTATGGTTCTTATGGTATGGACCATTCCGTGGTCCTTGTCATTTATCTATCTCATATAATACAGAGGGAAACCTTTTATCCCATCCAGACGCATGAAGTGTAAAGAAGCTTTTCAACAAACCATCATCATGTTCCACCTTCATGTTTTCTTGGGGATAATAAGATTAATAATTTCATAATAATATGAAAAATTCCTTTGATACCCTCCTTTCTGTCCCAGTGCTATACCATCATGGTTAAGAGTGATCCATTGTCAGTTTGTATGTAATCTGGAACAGGAAGACTGGAAAAGCAGTTGTAGAGCTCTGAATTAGTAGCTTTGGCATTAGCATACCTGCTTTTAGTGACAGCTATCAGTCCAAATACCACTTTCATTCCTGTCAGTACATGCTTAAAACCAATCGATGCTGAATAAATTTTCTCATTCTCTTCAGAAAACTTATTGTGGGCCTGAAGGATGAAATATTCCCATCAGGCAATTGCCAAATTTCTCCTTTAAAGGTATTGTATTGTAAAGTATTTTCTTCATGCTCTGTGATTGCAAGGGTGTGTGAGGTCCATTGTCTTTCCCCAGGTAAACATAAACACACTTTGGCAGTATAACATAAATTGCTTTGTTCATTAAATTCTGGTGTGTGGGTCCTGTTTCTTTTAAAATTTATGTCTAATTTCTTAGCATCCATTGTAATTTTAAGTGAAAATTGAGCTCCTCTATCAACCATATCTTTCAAAGGATGTTTTCTAGGTCCTACTGATGTGTAAATTGGTAGGCCATAATGCACCAGGTGATAAAGCCTAAAGTTCTCCCAGCACTTCATGACGTTTTTCTTTCATTTTTTTTTCCTCTCCTCAAATGGTTGCAGGTATGTTTTTTCTGTGAAAACGTTTGTTTTTTTCATGTGTCTCCCTTGCACTCTTTTCCCTAAGTGTTCTCTGGTTGTTGCCTGAGAGCTGCATGGGGAGTACCTAAAACTACCGCCGTCCTCCCCAGCACATTCTGCTTCAGTGGTGTTTTGATCCTTCTTCTGTCTCAGGCAGGGTATGTTTAAAAGTCCTCACCTGGCACTCAGGAAGTCTCTGCACTTCAGTTTTTGGGTCCCTCTCAAACGCCCAAGTTTGTTCTCCAGGATGGGGTTTCCCAGCCCATTTCCCTAGCATGGTTTACTGTGTCATGAAAGAGTCTTGCCCAAGAGGAAAGGTTGTCGCCCTGATTTAAGATTTTCTAAGCCTTCTGATGTTTGCATTCTTGTAGCAATCTTTCTCACACACTTTCTGTAAACAACTTATTGTTTTGCATTCTTTTATGGAGGAGGAGAAATTTGGTGGACTGTTGGTTTGTCCAGTGTCATTGGAGAGGTGGCACTTTCACCCTCCAATCCACCTGTCACCTTTGGAAATCTATAAATGTCGGAGTCAGAAAATAAACTCCCCTTTTCTACCTTGAGAACAGCAGCGTGTTTGTGTCGTGTTGTTTCATGTCCTATAGTGACAAAAGGTCATCTTGGGGATCTTGTAACTCCTCACTATGCATTACGTCTCCTTTCTGTCTTGTCTTTGTCTTCTCTATTTTGTCTTGTCACCCTACTGAAAACATTTTTAATGTTATCAGGGCTTCTTTAATAGAGGTCTTAACATACTAGGATCAACTTCTGCAGAGATTGGGATGTGTCCGTTTAAGTGTCCATACCTTGCCTTGTAACAGTGGTGAATATTTCATGAGATGACCACATGGGTATGGAAGCTGGTCCTGCTCTTTTCATAACCTCTGTTCCTCCTGCCCAATATGCAATTCTGCTGATTGTTGAATGAGGTTGATTGATAGGCTCAGGTCCTAGGTTTAATAAGACTCCTGGCCCCCAGCTTCACTTCTATCTAGCAATATTCTACTTGCTCCTGAGAGACTTACTCTAAGCAAATGCTCAGTCTCTGACTCCCCTGGTTTTTATCCATATTTTTCCTGTATGTCTGCCACTTGCAAGGGGTCCCACGGAGTAGTTCTGACCATGTTTTTTTTTCTGACCTCTTTGAGGTCCTTTGAATGCTTCAGTCTTAATTATAGGTATCATTCTAGAACTGCTTCCTTTTTAGAAGAGGACCTAGAGGTTCAGTCATTTTGTTGGAGATTCATTCTCCCTCATCAGCATTTTCATCAGGGTTTTCCCAAATACCACCATTTCAGTCCTCAGGAGATACTGTTAATTTTTGGATTTTTCTAGCAGCTGGATTGGTGAGTTTCAGTGTCAGCTCTAATTTTTTTCCCCAAAGTTTTTTGCTTTCCTTTGGATTCTTTTAACTGTTGTTTTACTTGTCATTTTGATACCATAAAGACAATTTTTCTTTCCTTTATTTACTATGTCAGATGCTTAATTTATTTCAAAATTTGTTCTCTTTATTGCTATGCAGCCTTTAAGCATAGCCTGCACAACTGTTGTGTGCTTAGTATTAAAATTATGGAAGTGTGTTGAGAACTAAACAGAGCAAAGAATATTGGGGGTTTTTTTTGGTTTTTTTTTTTTTTTTTTTTTTTGCATTTTAAGCATTCATTACAAGTTAATGTGAATGCTGTGCTACAACTGTGGAACAAGAATCTTTAATTTAGTTGAAAGGAAAGAAAGGCAACAGGAAAGAAAGCCAACAGTCAAACTGGACAAATCTTGTTAAAAAACAAAGAGCTGTTTCATTTTCAACAAAAAAAACCACAAAAAACAAAAACCCTGCACTGAAGTTAATGTTTAAAGATACTGGGCCTCTGGGTTTCAGAATACAAATAAGTGGGCATGGCTTCCTCTGGCAGCACGACATGCTCTGTGGATACTTGTACTTATCCTGTGCCTGTATGCTTTGTTTATGTGTCTGCTGAGGACCTGTCATACTTACCTTTGGGTTTGGAAGGAACTTATGCTACTGGAACAGTGTCTTGCGATCCAAAGGGCAGGCAGAGGGTACATTCTCTTTTCTGGGGACACTGTTGTTTTCAGTACCTCTTCATACACTGGAGACCTGCATTAACATCCAGTCCACTTGAAAGGGCAGAATACAGGCTGTTCAAGCTTCTCCTAATGTGTGTGCTTTTAGTGCTCTGAAAGTTTCCCTGTCAGCAGAGAATCTCCCTTGCTCTGGGTGAGATTACTAGTGGGGCTGCTGAGGAAAGCACCTTAAAAGCTGGTCATCAGATTGGTTTATTCTCTCAGCTGACAGTGAAATTAGAAATCTAGTTTAGACCAGGTGCTGAAGTATTGGATATATGAAGCAGGTATGTAATTGCTGTCTTGCTGCCTTGAATGATGACATTTTCAGGTTCATTTTAGAGTGAGGAGTCTTATTCTGAAATGGAGATTTACTCTTCATGGAAAACTAGAAGCCATCTCCGGGAACACAGTGATAATGGTGACTCCCAAGTACTGTTTTGATCAGTACAACTCCGCTGTCTATTCTGAAGGCTCATTGCAATTCCTAAATTGGCTTTGCAGTTTTATTCCAAAACAGTCCTTCAAACTCAAAGGCTTTGGATTGAGTAAGGGATGC